GGTCATGCAGCCCGAGCTGAGGGAAGGCCCAGTCCTTCCCACCACAGTGGCAGCACCTCCTGGGGCCACCCAAGTGTGTTGCTAGTGGGCGGGTGCCACCCAGGGGGGTGGGCACTGCCACTGTGGAGGGAAGGACTGGGGCCCCCCACAGCTCAGGGGCCACTGGCAGCTCATTCCCTGGCCGCATGAGAGATGGGCTGGCTGCGCCAGAAAAAAAAAGAATCGGGTCCCTCACCATTTTTTTTTTTGACCGGTGGAGCCTGCCCATGGCGGGGGAGGGGGGTGGGGGGGAAGTAAGCTAACAGCACTCCATCACTGTTTCTACTTTGATTACAATAAGGAACCCTGAATGTGATTTTTAGATGCACTGTCCAAGGTACACTGCCAGGTAGTACAATTGCTGGTGATCTCTGAAAAAAATAATATCCTGTGTTTCTAATTGGTAAAATAAAGACACCCAAAGTGAATAGACACTTTTGAAAAGTACGTGCATTATTGTCTCTGTACCTGTTTGTTCTTTCAGAAGTAGTATCAATAATACTTTACAAAAAGGTTGTGAGACTGGAAAGTATTTTTGAAATCTCAGATGGAAATAGAGATGCACAATTATTATTGTATCCCATTGCCAAAACAATGCTGATATTCTGATAGAGTATTTATTTGTGACACAGTGTTCTCTCAGTAAATTGATTTGCTATTTATGTATACATTTCCCATGACTATATATTTAATTATAGTAATTCCACGATCAAATTAGGCAAACAGATGCTGAAATGGATACACATTTATGATTCAGAAAATGAGATCACATTTTGTTGTACCAAATGATTAAGAATTAAAAAAAAAATGGATGTATTTTGATACAGAGAAATGACAACTTCTGACTACAGAGTTACTGGCAGCTGCTTTCTATTTAGTTTCAAGAGTGAGCATTTTCCTAACGTTAGACCATCAGAAACTACCTTAAGCTTTGATGTTAATCAATGGAAATGATTTATATGAAAGCAACAAAAGCAGGAAAATAGGTTTGGAAAATAAGACCTATGAAGAAATATTCTCAGCAGTAGAAAGGCTCAATCTAGAAGAGACCTAACAGAAACATAAGTGTCTACCAATACATACCAATTAGCTTCACTAATCGGAGAACAAAAAAAAAAGACATTAAAATAAACAACAATAGGAAAAATATATGTTAATTATCCAGGAAAATAGCAACTGTAAGACTGGTGCAGCAACAGAACAAATCTCTAAGACAAGCTGTTAAATCACCTTCATGGAGATATTCATGGATAGACTATCCATCAATTTATGGGGTATGATTTAGCAATAATAATATCAACCCTGACATGATGCAGGAGTAGAGTCTAGATGCCCACTAGAGAACTCTTTCTTTTTGTATGTTTCTGTGAAAATTCACTGAGATTGATTTCGTTTAGTGTACCATAAATGATTCCTTGCCTCCTCCTCATTTTTGGCTAACTTGATTATTGCTTGATGTTGATGAATTATAGGGTTTTATACCTAACATAAATGAAAACTAAACTGTGATATTTATTTGAAATGAGGGAATTTCTTTTGACATCAGCACATGTAATGATATTTTTAAAACTTTAAAAAACAGGAATCTGTGACTGATAGTAGGAGCTGTGTGTGTCTCTAGCAAAAGTGAAACTATCAAAGGACTTGATTTTATTATGTGTTGAATGTCTTTGTGACACCAGTGGAAGCTGAGGTTCTACTGAAGGCATTGGGCCATGGAGAGCTATTGAAAGGCAATGAGGTCAATCTATACTTCCTGCCCCTGAGGCAGGGGGCTGGACTTAATGATCTTCCGAGGTCCCTTCTGGCCCTAATGTCTATGAAATCTATGAAAATCTAGAAATACTCAGTGGATATGCAGCATCTTGTAGCATCAGGTCTGTGATACAGGATTTTTTTAAATAAAAAAATCCAACCTGAGTGCAACTATGGGCACTATGGGTTAGAGGATTGCAATATCTCTCTTTTCTACAATTTTCTTCGGTAAATTCCAGAAAAAGATCACCCAACTTACTATTTTTCAAAATGTGCGGTCTGTTTAAGAAAACAGACACATGACACATTTACTACCTATGTAGAGTAGAATGAAGTAGAAATGCAACATAAAGCCCTGTTATGTATCAAATCACTTGAAGCTAGGGTAAAGTTACTCCTTAAAATGCATAGTAATTTTGATTTATGAGAAAATGACTGTATAAATCTCTGTAAGGTAAAAATCTACCCTGCCTTCCGCCTGACTTCAGAGTAACACAGCTAACTACCGCTGTGTGGGGGGGAGCGGGGGAAGAAGTGGTGTGTCTGGCCCCCTAATGGGTTTCAGCCCTGGTTAGCCCATTGCTAAATGCAAACCAACCGCCTCACCACCTAGTGGACAGGCACTGAAATAGCACCTGCTGTAGGCAGCTAGCTTGCGAGATCAGATGATGTGTGTTTGCTTCTTACTAAGGAATACGTTTACTTTGAAGAATCTTCTTATCTAGAGTACTTGATTAGAAATTGTGTCATGTCTATAGTCTAAGAGTATTAATGTTCTTTATGTCCTATCACATATGGTAAAATACAATTCATTAATTAAGGAGCTTGTATTTGCAGACTCTGTATTTGTTTTGCTTTTTCTTTTGTGTTCTCCATTAGCTTTCTCTGGGCTAGATCCTGATTCCACTACCTACCCTGAAGAGTAACTTAATTCATAAGAAGTGCCATGGAACTGTGGCTAATTGTGAAGAATGTTGCTAATTAGCATGAGGCAAGATATCAGAATCTGGAACTCTGATTTTTTTTCCTTTTTAGGCCGCATCCAGACAAGCACAGATGTTTGCTTCCCCAAGGACAAGAAGCCACAGCTACTTGTCCCTGGGGAACACCTGTGTCAAGCGTGCTCTGGCGTGTGGCGGGTTGCCCTAGGTGGGTTAGGGGAGGCTGGAGTGGGAAACTGTGCTGGCCCAAGGAGGCTTATTGTGCATAGTGTTGTCATTTCCTTTTATTCTACCCCTCCCCTTTGTCTCTTCTTTTCTCTTGATGTCTTTCAGAAGTTAGTATTTACCTGGCTGGAGAAGTGTCATTTTTCTCCTTGTATACTGTCATCTTTTGCCTCTTATGCTCCCACTGCACCTGGCATATCCATAGGATTATCCCAACCTTTTCCTTTCACTTGTCTGGTGGCTCTTCCCAGTTCTTCTCCTTGACTTCATTGAATTGTGCAAAATAAAATCTACTAAAACAGAAAAATATATTTTTCTGTTATTTATGCTTTTTAATACACAGATTTATCACATAAAAATCTATGCGTTGTAAAATTAGAACAACAGAAAGCTGAACTTCACAAGCTAAAATCTCCATAAAATAAGTATCACATGAATACAACCCAGTTTCTTCCTCAAGATCCTAGGGGAGAGGTGGGGAGTTTGGGGGGATGGGGAATAACAAAAAATGAGGTTTGGACTCTTCTATGTGAGTGTTCAAAGGTGGAGGCAAGGATTTCTTGAGGCAATATCTTTTATTGGACTGTGTCGTTGGGATAGCATTAGACAAACTTTCAAATGCCAGACATTCTCCTTCCGGCCTGAGCAGTGAGCGCCAAGGCAGCACAGTCAAAAGATGGATTTGACATTGCCAGCAGCTCTTGTGACAATTACTGCAGTTCTTAAAGCTTTGGCCAAGACTCAGGTCATGACAGGAAAAACCACTTAGAACTCGAGTTCCTCTTTTAGCCCCTGTAATTTCAAAGTCAAGATTCAAGAGTAAGAGACAAACCCTAGGAACCATGGGTTTCTTGTCTTAAGCTCACAGGCCACGTCCAGGTGAGCGTGGGTGTTTGGCTCCCTGGGGACGAGCAGCAGTGGTGGAACGCCTGTGCCAAGCATGTGGCAGGTTACCCACAGGTCGGGGAGGGGCTGGCAGCTGTGCTGGCCCCAGCAGCCTTACCTGGGGTCCCACGGCACTGCTGCAGCTGGGATCCTGGTAGGCAGCTGGAGCGTGGCTCTGGCAGGCCAGGCTCTGGTTTTGGGCGGCGCACACTGCTGCCACGTGAACTGCCCCAGTTTTTTTCCGTGTGGGTTTTTCTGACCCTGGGGTGAACCCTCCCTGCCCCTGCAGTGTGGGGAATGCCTGCACGTGCAGCATGTGGCACCACGGAAGGTCTGTGCGGCCACACACCGCTTGGCTGCACTCCTCTGGATGCAGCCAAGAGGGTTGGAGACCATCTTGTCCGCTGGAGGGACCTGGGGTTTTTAATTGCCCAGGTGAGACCCCAACACCAAGGAAATCGATCCACGTTTTGTGGCACATAATAGAGCTGGGATTTCACCCTTCCAGTGGCCACGCAGAAGCCCCCAGGGTTGGGCAAGCACCTCTTTGCGTTGCACAGGGAGAGGGAGTGTGGACCATGGCAGGAGGAGGGGGGGACGAGCCTGCTCCTAGTTTTTCGGAAGGGACCGACCGCACCGCTCCTCAGCGCAGGTGCTTGGCGCAGCCTAGCTTCCTGCACCTAGCTCAGGCCCCTGCCATTTTAACTCGGGGTGGGTGTGTCTGCACACGCTGCTGGGAGCCCGCCCTGAGGGTCGGGATCTACGGGGATCACCTGAGTCGTGCCCCCCCCCCGCGTTGGAGGAAACTACAACTTCCAGCATGCCCCGCGCACACGCCGTTGCCGCACGGCATGCCAGGAAACGCCACGCCCCTCCCCTGGGGGACACGACCTGCCGGGGGCGCGGGGCATGCCGGGACTGCCTGCGGGCGGCGGGGCGCGCTGGGAGATGTAGGCGGCGCGGGGCGCGCTGGGAGCGGAGGCCGCGATGTACCACAGCAGCACGCAGCGGCGGCACTGGACCTTCCGCGGCG